AAGAGCGAGAGAGAGAGAGAGAGACAAAGAGAGAGAGAGAGCGCGAGGAAAGCGAGAGAGAGAGAGAGCGAAAGAGCGAGAGAGAGAGAGAGGGGGGAAATGAAGAGACGACAGAAAGAAGGACTAAAAGAAAGAGAGAATGCGTGAGCGAGGTGTCCGCGGTGCGCATTATTTTCAAGAATATGCGTTTGTGTGATGACGGCCACCTACATTATCGCCACCATCGATTTTCAGACAAGCAAACACACGGGCTCAGTGAAGAATAATAGGATTTACTCATTCAACAGAATATGATACAGATGAGAATGCCGAGGACACGTCTTGAGCACGTGCCAAGCCTTACCTCCAAACAACGGGTAGTGTACAACTCAACAGATAACAATAGTTTACAATACTAATTTCTATTGTCAGTACACTGTTCGTCTGCAATCTAGCGTTATCACCACATTTTAGAACGGTAATTCCAATTGATTCATAATCAGTTGCCCCTCGTTACACATGCATCGCATATAATAATAATTGTGATGTTACGTTATTCAATCATGTAAAGTTAACGATACTCGCGAGTCGTGGAAAATCCCGATCTGTACCTCTAATTGTGGAGGGTACAAAGACGCTTCTATATGATCCGAAGAAAATGACAATTTTGTTCGTAAGGAATGTAAACAATTGTCTCTCTTTGCCTAACCCGAAATCCCGCCAAATGGATGCGGTCCATAAACACCCCGATGATATTAGCTTAAAAATACAATGTAGAATGCCAATAAAGATCAACCTTGTAGTCTGGCATTGCCGCGATGTTAGCAAACCTAATTAGGTTGTAGGCCACGTGACATTAAAACGCCCTAAATACTAAACCGGCTTTGCACGTTTGCAAATATTCGGTTAATCTCATACACAGTTAAAAGATTAAAATTGGGCAGATTCCGCGATTCCAATTGTTATATAAAACACCACCGAAAGTTCACTAGACAACATATCTGATAGATCTCCATGGAAAGAACCGTCTTCAATAGGTATTTGTATTTGAATTACATGAAATAAAGATGTAATAGATGTACTTCAACCGAACGTATATATGCACGCATGCGCATATTAGTCGGCCAGACGGTCAATTAGGTAGTATTACGTTTTCATAACAAACGTTTCTTCTTTGCTGTTCTCTATTTTGATCACCAGTTCTTAAACAAAACTGTCCATTTTTGTATAGAATCGGGCATTGGCGCTACCGATCAGATGACCAGTTATAGTAAAACGTTGATTCGTTGCTGAAAGAAACAACACACTACACATCCCCTACCTATCTTCTTGTAATTCCTACGCAATTGGAGAGACATGGTTTTCATGAAAGGCTTTATTCTTGGTTCCCGATAAAGATAATGGAACATCTAGCAGCTAAGCCCGGCGCACACGTACGTGAGTAATTTTACTCAAGTAAAATGACGCATGAGTCAAAATACTCACTGTACGTGTGATACTACACGTGTGCGGCGGGTTTGATAATTTTTGACTCATGCGTCATTTTACTCAACGTGTGCGCGCGCGCTGAGTAAATTTACTCAACACTGGTACTCACAGCGCATGTGTTTAAATCATTGTGCGCCAAGTATTGGCTGCGCACAGTCACGTGATCTGCATTAGCACTTATTCCTTGAGTAATTTGACTCACGTGTGCGGCGAACGCTGAAAATATTACGCGTGAGTACTTTGAAAATAACCGGAAAATAGAAAAATAATAAGGAAGGAAGATAGAAAGAAGTTAAATAATTAGTTAGATAAGCGTCTATAAGCGTCTTACGGGCGTCTATAAGCGGTCTTATCATTCGATCTCGTACCATGATACCTCGATTCCTCTGCATGGTCAAGTGACTGCCTGAACTTTCGATGAAATTCTGGATGTGACAGAGAAACACATTCATCTAGTCTAGGCGGCGTCATACGTTAAGGTAAAATTACTACATATGCATGTACACGCAAAAAACGCACAGCTTCGATCTTGCTCGGACCTGAACACGTAGTGGAATGTATCAATAAAAGGCAGGCGATACGACATGGCACAGTTACACAATGGGTTGCGTCGAAAATATTACAATTACAAAATATCCGATTGCTTAGCGAGCTTCTTTCTACCTGCTGCGAAGCACATATATTTGAATCCTTACCGAATCTCACTACAGGCTATAGTTCCGCACAACCCATCTGTCGCGTTATTTTACACGTATCACATCACACAGTAGAGTGTTGTATTGAACATCACCATATAGCTGGCTATCCAGCCAACGTATGTTCCGAAATGTTTACTCATATTATCATATATTACAGATACACGAGATTACGCTTCCACATTTTATGTACACAACGTGGTACATTTACAATAAAAGTGTAGTAGTCTACACGAATGAACAACTAATTAGCTAAAAATTATTAGTTGGCTGCCACGCAGCCGCATTAGTGCAACAACTACAAACATACGTATGTGTGTGTGTTAAGTGCACTCGTAAAAGGTGACATGGTATTGCACACAAAATGCCTATAATATAGGCACTAAAAGCAAACACATTACACAAAAAGCCCATTAATAAATGGGCATACATAATCGGATTGTCTCTCTTAATTGCATATATATATATATATATATATATATATATATATATATTAATGTCAATAGATGAAATGTAAGATAGAAATATATAAAGAATGAGTATGTATTATATTTCGAAACAGAGCTTTCGAGAGAGCATATTTCTTCGTTAAACAACAGGAGAATGGCTTCATTTATATCCGTAAAATATAGGGGAACGATATTCCAAGTACATCACCAGTACATCTACACGCCTGTCTGGTTTAGTGTACACTGCTTTTCATCGTCTTATTAATGACATAATAGCCATGCATATATCATATTTGCTGATGCATATTATTTATGGCGATCTCCACGAATAGATTAATCGCGTGGGTATTCATCCGTATTGGCAGGGTGCCATCATGAGTGACAGCACATGTAGACAGCACTTATATTTTAACGGCATACATTAAGATCAGGGCCGTAGGCTGAGCAAATTCCTAGGGGGGGGCAGTGGCGGATCCAGGATTTCAAGGAGGGGGTGAGAAACAGGTGGAGGGTCTGGGGGTCCTCTCCCACAGAAAATTTGAAATTGTAGCTCGGAGGAGATTGTATTTGAGGCACTTTTGAGTACATGTACAGCCTTCATTCTGACTACGACAATTCTCTTTTAGTAGAACAATAAAAAAATTTAAATTTTGCTCCAAAATCTAGGGGGGCATGTAAACCGACCAGGCTCTCCGACTAGTTACACGGCGGAGGAGTAATAGCTAACCTCTCGCCACGTAGTGTTAAGCGAGATGGGAACTTGTGGCTAGGGGGGCATGCAGCCACGGCTTTGGCTGCACTGAACATAGAGTGTTTATTCCTATCTGACGTGGTCCCTCGTATTACCATATCGGCTCGCTATGGGATATTTCACATCCGGGCAATAAATAACCAGCAATATATACACAACAGTAAGTGCCCACAAATACACGTTCTCAGTAGGTTAGATAGGCGAGAAAGTTACTGGTAAACGGTCGAGGATTTACAAGCTGTCGCACGCATTTACTAGTCATCTTCTGTGCTTCTGGAACGCGTAGCCGGTGAATAATGATGAACCAGCGAACACCGAAGTTAAGCATAGATTAACAGACTTATGCAGAATGTTTTCATTCAGTGACTATATGTATAATCACTATGTTATCGGTTGATAACGCTTCTTCCGCCCCTACCTGTATATCTGGGAGGAAGATTAAGCCTAGCGCAGACCTGCGATTTTTGGTTGCTCGTCGCTGCAACCTGCAACCGCAAGCGATCGGTCGACGTGTCACCGCGTGTGCGCACACATGCGATTTCAAAGCAATTCTAGAACAATTTAGGAGCGATTGGGAGCGACGAGTCGCTCAAAATCAAAATAGTTTGATTTATTGCAACTCGTCGCAAGCGACCAGAATCGCTACGGGTTGCAGTTGCACGTTCCCGCAGACGTAGCGATTTCATAGCAATTTTTACAGCGATTCTAGAATCGCTGTCGAGTTGCATGAAAAAGTCGCAGGTCTGCGCTAGGCTTTAGGAATGTTCCCGGACCTGCGAGCTGCTGTCGAATGCAAATTTCTATGCAAGTGATTTATTTCGTTCACTTAAATTTACATTTTTTGCGAGTCACCCTTTCTCCTGTCTCGTCACGACCAAGGAGCTATATTATACTATAGTATAATAGCAGGAGTCTATCAATAGGAGTCTTATCAATCATGATAGTATCAATCAATAAATGATAAAATAATGATAATCAAGTAGAATATAGCTCCTTGGTCACGACTTCACACGGCGCCCCTTGTATGCAGAAGGTATCACTATATATATATATATATATATATCAGTGTTATGTATGCGTGTACAGGGGCGGCGCCACAGGAGGGGCAGGGGGGGCGGTCGCCCCCCCTATCATTTGCAAGAAAAAGGAAAGAAGAAGAAGAAAAAGAAAAAGAAAAGAAAAAAGAAAAAGAAAAAGAAAAAGAAAAAGAAAAAGGAAAAGAAGAAGAAGAAAAAGAAAAAGAAACATCTTGCAAATGTCTTGCAAATGATGGGTGGGGTGGGGGGTCACCCCCCCCCCATCATTTGCAAGAAAAGGTAAAGAA